ACTTGATAATATCTTTGTGTAGAGGAAACAAAATAAAACAAATGGGACAAATATGAAGGAAAAAGTCTGATGAACTGGGCCTCATGAAACGTCCTAGTCCAACATTGAAATGAGGTCAGTTAATACTATTGAAGTTTCTCTTGACACTACGTGATGTGTGTCCCCTAAAAAAATTTTCTCCTGAAAGACTTGCTTACCATTCGCATGCACATATCCAATTCGGAGTGAACCAACCGCTTTAAAGGATTGTATGAATTTGCTCATATAATCTGACTTTAGCCCTTGTAGAATGAAAAGTAGCAATCCACAAAGTCACCTCGTCATTGAAATGGGGCTCTCAGGGTCAGATATCTCCAACAAATGTCGGCTGAGAGGGCACAATAGCGGAAAATTGATTAAATTTTGAAAGAAGGACTTCGATTGGCATGTTAACTGTTTTAATAGTCAAGCATTTGCGTAGACCTTTGGGGCATTGGCGTTACGAAGACGGCGATAGTTCAGTCACTCAGGTGCGTTGCAACGCGAAAAAATCACGTCACCGCAGCAGCAGCCGCGCTGAGCACTAGTTCTGAGCAACAGGGGAAAAATTGCAATCCGATGCAACAGCAAGTTCCAAGATGCTAGAGATTGGCTTCAGATCCTCGATGCTGCTAAGTTTAGGATGATGTAAACCGGCTCCCACTGATGAATCAAAAGTAGCGAAAGGGATGACTATTGAGACCTAATATACATCCCTCCTCGAGACTCTTTTAAAATGTTGCTGTAAAGAAAAAATGAACCTCACGAATTGAATTGAAGTTGCTTTAGAGAGAAAAATTAAGTGCGCAAAGTGTTTTACGAGACGAGTTCCATCAAGTCGGAATATATTCGACATTATTTTACGTTACCGTTATAATAACGGTCGTGATTTCAACAGTAAAAGCATTAGGCAAAAAGAAAGAAGGCCTATCAAGCAATCAAACCGGTGATCTGAAAAAGATCAGAGGTAATGACAGTCAAGTAGGAAGAGTATAGCAGTTTAGTCCTCCTCATGTTACGCTTTTTAAAACAGCAGATGACGCATTTTATTGCTGAAAAAGAGCATTGGCAGAGTGAGGATTGTAAAGATATGAAAGCTTAGAAAGTAACAATCAAGCGTTTCATTGTCTGTTGTTGTTGTTTTTATGGGAGAGGGGGGGGGAGGGAGAGAAGAATCGTAACACATATTGCATCTAAATAAGATGAATGTGCATCGAAAATAATTGAAAAAACAATCATCTTCATAATCCTGATGAAAGGAAATAAATTAGTGAATAAATCTTATTAATAGCCAAAAGTAATTCCTAGGAGTTGCCTCGTTTAATTCCAGTGATCTTCCCATTATAGGTGGACTAAAAAAAAACACGAGGGTTTATCCGATAGGTCCACGCCGCACGTGGGGTGTTCGGAGGAACCAACAGCGACTTCGGGTCGTCGGCCGACCTCAAGTTATCCGAAAAATTCAATGCGCTACGCTTCACGATTACCATCTTTGAATTAATATTACGTACAATAAGTTGATTGATATCTCGCACACGTGAGCAGGCGACGTAGATCAAATGTGGGCAGTCAAAGAAAGACTTGCAGTCGAGTACAACGGTGCCTTGGAGCGTTAAGCCTTGAACTTTATGCACGGTAAACCCATAGCCGAGCTGCAACGGGAAGGTGTAAACATCATGACCGTAGTAATAGCTCGTGGGGCCGCCACCAAGAACAGTGCTAATCGGGGGGATTTGAACGACCTCGCCACTCAAAAACCGCACCACGGGAAATCGCTCGAAGAGATTCGCATTGAGCACCCGTCGGTAATAGTTACACGCGGAGATGTCGGTGCGGTGCGGGAAAAGCTTCATATCCGGCGGCATAAACGCCTCCACGACGCCAACGCTGCCGTTCGACACCGTCCGAGAGAGGTTGCGGTTCACCATCACGCGGCAGCCGAGTTTCAACCGCAGTGGGAGGAGCACCTCCGCGACGCCTCGCACCGTGATATCCGCGAGCGCCATCGTGACGCTCAGCGGGACGAGCGGGATCGGCTCCACGTCGAAGATTTTCAGCAGACGCCCGTGCAGCCGCCCGGCGACGCGCTGCGCGAGCTTCGCCCA